GAGAGGGGGCGAAGGCTAGCGATGGGGATTTTTTTTAAAAAATGGGGGGGATTGGGGGGGTTGTTAAGTTTGGACGTAGGGTGAGGTGATGCAACTCGGATGCGCGGGTATTGTGTGTGCGTGCGCGCAGGCTGTGGAGCTCTCCCGACGATGGCCGAGGCTGAAACCCTCAAAAGAAGGAAGTCATTCAATCAATTAGCTCTCGGCTCCGTCTAGCTCAGAGAGGCTTGATGGGTTGATGCCTTTATATCTAGAGAGAATCTGAAGTGCTCTTTCTCACATGGGAATGCTCTCCGTTTCAGGAATGCCTGAAATGTGCCCCCCCCCCCCCCCTTTTGGTGTTTTGGACACGCAATAAGCAAATGCCAGTCACCATAAATGCCTGAAATGTGCTATCTGGAGTGCATGTCTATCTGGAGTGCGCCTGGGGACTTTGACAACATTTGCCTCAGACGGGCAACATCCTGTTGGTGCGTGCCAATATGCAGCAAATTTCCAAACATTTGCTCTACCAAACAGATGTTGGAGGTGGTGCCTGAGCTTTGGTCATCCTCTAGTAGGTCCAAAGAAATTACAGCTAGGATGGGACTTGGTTTCCATGGCTTATCTAACAAAAAACAGGGTGCAATCCTGCTCCCTTGAGTCAGGAGGTTTCCTATGGGAGTGAACAGCACCAGCCCTACTATTAAACCAAGGCAGCTGCTGCTCAGGTAGTAGATTTGGAGTGACATGAAAGGGCAGCAAACTGTGGGCAATTTACTGTGTTATTATGATTTTACTCTCAGGGATGGCGAGAGGAAGGATTTTCTGCCTCCTGTGCCAAAGTAACTTGGCTGGCTTTTCATACCACACACCTCTACAAGGGTAGACAGGAAGATGCTCTTTGCTGCTACTTCAGATAGTAAAATAGTTTAGGTCAACCCGGTGGATGAATGGTTGCCATTCACTTCTGTGGAGAAAAGAAGAGTGCTGTGCTTGGAGAGGGCAGAACCTGTCTCTTGACCAATCCATCTGTTGATGGCGCATGCTCAAAGATACACTGCACTTCTTTTACAGGACAATTAGTATTATAGGCAAGCACTCCTTCCCACGTTATCTCTCCTGTTGACAGGGTCTTTCATTATATAATTGCATTTTAACAGCATTTTTAGTATTCAAAGTACTTTATAAATGCTTTTATTTTGGGATTGGATTATATCCCATTTTTGTGTGAAGATGCACATGAGCCACACTAATAAGAGCCATGTTAGAATGTTGATATTATGCATAAAAGGAGAACTTTTAATTAATTAAGTGCTTAATGTATGCAACTCTCAGTATAATGCTTGTAACAGCCTTAAAACACAGATCAGTGGTTATTGCTCTTTATTCAAGCAAGGTTGAAAAATGGCAGCTTGCAACCTAATGAGTTAATGGGAGAGGCAAGACTTGGACTGAGCATCTTATTTAGCCAGTAACTAGATCAATAATTCTAGACTGCCTTCTAAGGCAAAGCCCAAAGAAATAATATTTCTTTGTCTTTGCAGCTGTTTACATAGGAAGAGTTTCCTGGCATGTGAGGGTATGATGTTGGGGTTCAGCTGGCAAGAGTTGTTGAGGTGACTGTGCACATAATTGAAACCACTGCTTGATTTGGCAGTACATATAGTTCATGCAGCTGAGTTGGTCCATTATAACAACATTCACAGAAGCAGTAAGGTACTGACTTTATTGTTTTGACTGGCTCAGTAAATGTTCATAGATACTATGTGAACTTTAAAGCTTAACAGAGCTGTTGTTCAGCAGGAATAGGTTTATTTTATTTTATCTTTGTTTTATTTGGGGGATGTATAAAACAGATTATGTGGCAGCAGGCAATTTCAGAGCGTTACTGGCTACTCTTTCCATGTGTCTCTATATGTGTGTGTCAGTTGGGGTGCTTTTAGAGAAAAAACGATCACAGGACAGAGAGGCCATAATGTGTGCCAGGCTGATCTCTGAGGTTATGTCAGGAAGAAAAATATTGGGATATTTTAAGAGATAGTTATAAAGGTGGCTGAAATAGTAGGGAGAACCATCCTAATAACTGAGGATCAGTGGTGGGTTATGGAAAGTATTGGCGTGTTTCTGAGGTTTCCAAGAAGACACCCGCTAAGATTTGTACCTTTTCCACAGAGGAACAGCTGAAAAAGATGGTTAGTCCTTCTATCATCATTCATTTTATATTCACCGCAGGTAACAGCATGTGTGGCTGTGATTTTGTGTGTGTTAGGTACTTATGGGGATGGGATTATGGTCACAGCTAAATTTAGGTGCTGGGGATTTGTTTTATTTTGGGAAGCATGCTAATATGATTTTCCCTCCTGTTTCTAATGGAAACAAGCTCTTTCTATTAGAATTGCATAGTAGTTGACATGTGAAGAAAGACATTTTCTAGAAAACTAAGCTTTTAAACTGATGCCAGTAATGATTAGGTGGTGAATAGAATGGTTAAGTGGTTGGCATTTAATAGTTCTCTATAACCAGGAACTATGTACATTATTTTTAAATAAAACCAGTAGTAGACTTTTGTGGTAGTCAAATCTTGGAGTTGTGTTTACATATATTTATTTTAAAGCTTCCCAGCTTTTCATGTACATGAAGTAGTGAGGCCCTGAACTGACATGAGGACATGTTAAGGCAAGAAGAAGAAGGGAACGCTAAACCAATTCTGAGTGCTCCCTACCTAGATAACCCTGAAGAGAGTTACCATAGGTTAGAACTGATTTGATGGCACATCATTGCCATCATCATATTTTCTTTACAGATATTGATTTTGAGCAGCACTGTAATGGCTACTATGTTACAAACATGGGAAGGAACTGGCAATTGGAAAGGAAACATATTTGTGTTGAATAAATCTGCAAATCCATTTCATTTTAAACCATTTTGTTGTTGTTTAGTCATTAAGTTGTGTCCGACTCTTTGTGACCCCATGGACCAGAGCACGCCAGGCCCTCCTATCTTCCACTGCCTCCCGGAGTTGTGTCAAATTCACGTTGGTTGCTTCGGTGACGCTGTCCAACCATCTCATCCCTTGTTGTCCCCTTCTCCTCTCGGCTTCACACTTTCCCAACACCAGGGTCTTTATATGGAGTCCTCTCTTCTCATGAGATGGCCAAAGTATTGCAGCCTCAGCTTCAGGATGTGTCCTTCCAGTGAGTACTCAGGGTTGATTTCCTTCAAAACGGATAGAGTCTCCTCCAGCACCACAATTCAAAAGCATCAATTCTTCGGCAGTCTGCCTTATTTATGGTCCAGCTCTCATTTCCATACATCTCTACTGGAAAAACCGTAGCTTTGACTATGCGAACCTTTCTCAACAAAGTGATGTCTCTGCTTTTTAAGATGCTTATCTAGGTTTGTCATCGCTTTCCTCCCAAGAAGCAGGTGTCTTTTAATTTCGTGGCTGCTGTTCCCATCTGCAGTGATCATGGAGCCCAAGAAGGTAAAATCTGTCACTGCCTCCATATCTTCCCCTTCTATTTGCCAGGAGGTGATGGGACCAGTGGCCATGATCTTAGTTTTTTTGATGTTGAGTTGTGTGGTCTGTGTTCTGAAACCTTTAATGGCATTTACAAGTTACAACAACACAAGCAAAATAGGAAAAGTAAAATTATACAGATTTCACAAATTAGGAGCGAGAAGCAGGGGACAATTTCAAAATTGCAGATAAGAAACCTGCAACAGCAGCGGTCAGGGCATTACATTCATCACTGAACCATTTTTTGCACTGTCCTCTTTCACCCTCATTAAGAGGTTCTTTAATTCCTCCTCACTTTCTGCCATCAGAGTGGTACAGTATCATCTGCATATCTGAGGTTGTTGATATTGCTTCTGGCAATCTTTATTCCGGTTTGGGATTCATCCAGTCCTATGTATTCTGCATATAAGTTAAATAAGCAGGGAGACAATATGCAGCCTTGACATACTCCTTTCCCAATTTTGAACCAATCAGTTGTTCCATATCCAGTTCTAACTGTTGCTTCCTGTTCCACATATAGATTTCTCAGGAGATAGATAAGATGGTCAGCCACTCCCATTTCTTTAAGGACTTGCCATAGTTTGTTGTGGTCCACATAGTCAAAGGCTTTTGGATAGTCAATGAGGCAGAAGTACAGTGGTGCCTCGCTTGACGACGTTAATTTGTTCCAGCGAAATCGCTGTAGAGCGAAAACATCATCAAACGAAATAAAAAAACCCATTGAAGCGCATTTAAAACCGTTCAATGCATTCCAATGGGCTGAATACCTGCTCGTCCAGTGAAGATCCTCCATACGGTGGACATTTTCGGTGCCTGTAAAGCGAGGAATCCATCCTAGAAAACAGCGGGGGGGCCATTTTCTTCAGCCGGTGACCATTTTGAAACCCGACAATCAGCTGTTTGCTGATCGTCGTAAAGCGAAAATCGGTTCCCGAAGCAGGGAACCGATCATCACACAGAAAAAAACTATTTAAAACATCGTTTTGCGATTGCAAAATCGATCGCAAAAACATCAACGTAAAGCGGATTCATCGTAGAGCGGGGTAACCGTCCGGAGGGGCACGACTGTAGATGTTTTTCTAGAACTCTCTGGCTTTCTCCATAATCCAGTGCATGTTAGCAATTTGGTCTCTAGATCCTCTGCCCCTTCGAAATCCAGCTTGTACTTCTGGGAGTTCTTGGTCCACATACTGCTGAAGCCTACCTTGTAGGATTTTGAGC